CAGATTCCTACAAATGGAAGCAGTTTGTACCTTCCTCCCATCAGCTACACTAACAGACTGTTCCATGATTGTGCTGGCCTTGCATCCTAGCTGCCTTGCCATTTCTTCATCAATAAAATTGTGGGTACTACCTGTATCAATAAGAATCTGTAATGGTCTTTTCTCATGATACCCAGTGACTCGAATGGTCTGGTACCCAGTGACACCAGTGAAGGCTTGCAATGAAATTGTCATACATTCCTCAGGATTGACAATGTAATCAATTGCTTCTTGATCCTGGAACTGATCTGGTTCTAGATCATCTTCCATAGTTACATCTCCTTCTTCACACAATTCTATTAAGAACAACTGCTTCTTGGCCTTACACACATGCCCCCTTACATACTTTTCATCACAAAGGAAGCACAGTCCCTTGGCCCTTTTCTCATCCATCTCTGCTGCGGTTAAGAGCTTCCTTCCATTAACATTGCCCTGAAATCCACTAGGTTTGTTATAAGAATTATCAAAAGGTTTCCTGTAACTAGTATTAGCTGGTATGGGCCTCTGTACATTCTGATTTCTATGGAAGTTTGGAGTTGGTAAAATGGGATTCTGATTTTTTCCAGAAGATCTAATTCCCCAGGACTGAGCTTGTGCCTCAAAAACTTCCTCTTGCAATCTAGCCAACTTGTAAGCTTGCATCAGAGTCTTTGGTGCCTGCATCCTTACTGATTTGTTCAATTCAGGTTTGAGGCCTCCTAAGAAACAGCTGATGGCATTCTCATTAGACAAATTCACCCCAGTCAGCAGCCTATCAAACTCAGCTTGGTAAGCTCTTACATTGCTAGTTTGTTCCAGGTGCTTAATGGATTCCATTGAATCTTCATATCCATCCCCAAACCTTTCATTCAAAGCTAAAATATACTCTGTCCAAGTAGGATCTACAACAGTGTTCCTAGCTTTCAGATAAGACCTATGCCAAGCAATAGCTTCCCCATCTAAGTGAATTGATGTGACTTTGACCCTCTGACTATAAGGAATTTCATCCATAGAAAAGAATTGGTCCACCTTATACAACCATGTTTTCAGATCTTGCCCAGAAAATCTAGGGAAATCTAACCTAGAGCATCGAGTGAGAAAATTACCAGTTACTCCAGCCTGAATGTCTCTACTTGTGTTCAACTGCCTCAATTCTCCAGAATTGTCACCTCCAGCAGAAGATTCACCTCTGCAATTATCCAATTCCTTGTCTCTCTGCTTCATACCACCAATGGCTTGCTTGATTTCCAACAATTCCTTATCTGTCCTCTCATTTCGTTCATTCATAGTCGCCATCAATTTCTGCAATTGCTCTTGAATCTGCAAAAAATTGTTATCTGCCTCTGTCGATCCTTCTGGGTTCTTGTTGCGAGTCAAAGCCATGCCGAGGAATGAAAGCTTTGATACCAATTGATGCACTCACAATCAATTGTGATGATAGTAGTTAATCTAGGAGTTATGGCTCGAAGAAGATGAAAACTAATTCAGGGTACAACCGAGAAGATTAGCTGAGAAGATGTAGAAGAAGGAAGAAAGAATAGAATGATATTATTCATGAATGAGTGAATCAATACATTTCCCATGTATTTATACAACTAATCAAATGGGTAAAATGACTTAAAGAAGAATACAACAAAAGAAACTAACTAACTAATTTCTTGACAGCTGAACAGTGTTAACTGCCTAACAGTTCTAACAGCTTCTAACAGATTTTCAGATTCCTTTACATTCATTTTAACTAACTCGACTACATATACTTGCATCGAAGTCCAGCACATATAAATGCAGGAACGTTGTACATAACTTTATAAACTTTTTATCATCCAAGTGCTTAAATTCTTTGTCAAGGAGCAATATTGACCTTACCTTCAATTCTGAGAGATCAAGTGACAGATACCTTTGAGTTTGTGTGTGAATAGCATGTCGGTGACGATATGGGGTGACCAAGTTTACTCTTGGATCATAAATGTCAAACAAGTTAACCTCCATGGCTTTCTGTACAGCAAGATCCCGAAGTAAGTCGTGTATCCTACATGTAAGAATTTTATCAAAGAATGTCTCCGCAACTTGAATCAAGCTTCGACTTATTAGCTCATGTAGGAAGTTTTCTGCAATATCCTCCATATGTTCTTCTCGAATTCTTGGTATTAATCCCTCTGCCAGCCACAGATGCATCAACTTTTCAGTGTCGATCACATGATCTTCTTGGAAAATGCCAATGTATAAAAAGCATTGCTTAAGCTCAAATGACAAATCACTGTAGCTCAATGATAGGATGTGAGTTATCTCAACAGAGTCATTCTTCATATGCTGCCAAAGATGTGTCTTCACCTTTTGCCATTCATCCACCCCCTTTCTGTAGGAAAGTAGCCCACCTAGTACCACAATAGCAAGTGGTAATCCTCTGCACTTGTCCACCATTTCCATAGCTAGCCTTTCCATTGATGGGGAGAACAAGTCAGCACCAACCATCTTATTCTCTGGATGTAGTTTCTTGCATAAAAGGTCCCAACTTTCTTCATTATTTAGAAATCGAAGTTTATGGGAGAAACCTTTGTCATCGACTCTTTCAGCCACGTCCTCCTTTCGTGTCGTTAGGATAACTCTACTGCCATTTTTGTTATCCGGTAAGGCTCTTTTCAGGCTCTCCCAGGCTTCTCGATGCCATACATCATCAACCACCACAAGGTATTTGCGCTCTTTCAATAGATTACGGAGGTGAGTTTCTAGATCTCTCTCCGTCATCTCCTTCAGCATTTTTAGCATTTCTTCACTGCAACCATCAATTGATTTTATGATACTCCGAAGGAGATCTGAGGTACTATACTGTTGAGAGACACATATCCAGGCACGAGTGTGAAAGGTAGTGATTAGACTTGGGGAGTTATATAGGTTTCTCGCAAGCGTGGTCTTGCCCAACCCACCCATGCCATAAATTGAAATGACATTTCGCCGAGGCTCCTTTTTGAGAAGTTCATCAAGTAGTCTTTGAAAGACCTCTTGAAAGCCAACAAAGAGTTGATCTTCATCTGCATAGGACACTGCTCTCCTCAATGTTCTTATTAATGTGGAAGACTGATCGTTTGGCCTATTACTTGGCCCTTCTCCAGCATTATTATTGATGTGAGTAATTCCATAGGTATCTCGTTTTCGAGAGATATCCATGACTCTTTCCTTGAGGGACTGAATGTCCTTCCCTATGTTGTGAAATTTGGCCTCCTTCTGACAGATGCAAGCACAAGCCTTAAGACGATCAACGAATCCAGCAGCATGATCACCATCTTTTGCTGCATCCGAACTGTATGCTTCTAAGACGGCCACAGCTTCATTGGCAACTGAAGTGATTTCAAATACCCATTGCTGCACCAGGTTATCTTGTTCTTGCTTTGTTTCGGCATCTTTGAGGAAAGCTTTCATGAAAGACAGTTCATTTCTCAGCCAAAGAACATTCTCTCTCAGACTTTGGCGCAGGGAAACTTCCTCTATGAGGAATGTTCCCAGTTTTTCAACTGCATAGGACACAACTGCATCAACCATCTTGATGATTATGAGGCTAGTTTTTCACTGTAATAAGGATAAAATGATATACTTGACAATATGATTACACAAAAGGAGTAGTATTATAGTTCAATGGTGCGTCACAGTTTAAATACAAATTTAAACCTTGAAGAAGAGTTGGAAATTTCCACCTGTTTATGAAAGTCAAGGCTATCAACTATCACGTTGTTCTCATACTCAAATTCTTAGTGCGTAAGAATCTATAGACTAAGTCATGGTCCTGTATTTTGCTTGCATTATTTATTGTTGAAAATGAAATAAAAAAGTCAGCAGTTTTAGAAAGATTCTCTGAAGAGTTCCTATGAATTTCGTGTTGCTTTCACAAAATTCAAACTATGGTAATGGGATATTATAATGAAAGTTCAATTAGTTTATGTCCATAACCATTCATTATGCCAAGCAGAAAAAGGCAACATGGAAGGATAACAAGTAGCTGGCCACTATATGACAATCCATTTTACCTTTAGATCAAACTGTGGGGTCCATCCCCATGTCCCTTGAACAATTCTCACAATTTCAAAGGTTCAGATTTTGAACAATTCTCACAATTTCAAAGGTTGACAGATTTGGATATACATGTGCTGATTTATTTTTTCAGCTTTCCTCAAAAGTTAAATGTTGGTAAGCTGAAGAAAAAATTGTTTTTCTTCTGTAGAGGCTCCTGCATTTGTTCTCTATAAAAGGGAGGGTCATTCTTCGTTCTAAAATGCACCAAAAACAAAGGAGAGAAAAGAAGAGTGAGGCATCACATAGTTAAATTTATTGTCTGCTCCTAACATGATATATTGTCATCTTTGTCCAGTACATTTTTCATGTAATCTAGAATTAGACATTATTGTCTTCTATATATTTCATAAATTAATATTACAATTTCTAAAATTTGATTTAAAGAGATATATGACTCAGATTCGAACTGAAAACTGAACCAGTTGACTTGCACAATTGAACAAGCATAATATTAATTTGTACCGTTTAGGACAGAAGAAGCATCAAGTAAGTTAATAATTAACATTGGAGGAATTAAAAGAAAAATAATCAACAAATGGAAAATAAGTACGGAATTTACTCACCTCAAAAGCTTCAGACATGCATCAAGTTCCTAACTAGTTCATTAGGAACCGATAATAGTACTCCCTTTGACTTTGATAACAATCAAGCATTGCAATATGCTCCATTCTTTCTGGAATTTTCTTCAGCTCCGGACACCCAAATATACTCCAACTTTTAAGCATACTCATAGCAGTTGTGTGAAGATGCCAACTTTCTAGATTTTCAAGATTACCAAGTCTAAGGGTCTCCAGCTGACCAAAACCGTTGCCCTTGCAAGTAAATTTCTTCCCCTTGTAAGCACGTGATAACTCAAGATGCCTTAAGTTTGGAAACTTCCCCAGAATTGGCATTGGGTCTTCCTCAAGTCCTGTAAACTATGTAGATTGTAGGACTAACACAGTGATGGATTTTGGCAGATTGATTAAATTTGCTGGTTTTTCTATTTTCCCTGATAACCACAATCTGTGAAGGTTTTCACAAGAAGAAAGAGGTTCAAGGGGAGGAAAAGTTCCACCATAAATGCAAATTAGAAACAAGGTGGTGAGGCTTTTCAGGCTGCCAATGGATTTTAGGGAGTAAGATTTCTTAATTTGTTCCATGCCCAATTCTTGAAGGTTGACTAAACCAGAAGCATCAGTATGTTTCCACTGATCACAACGAATAAATTTCAAAGTTCGTAGATTTTTCAGCCTGTTAACTTGCACGGGAACCTCATATCGAGCAACTAAATGTCTCAAATTTGTGAGCTGGGCTACCTGAGGAGGTAGTTCGCATGAGCAACTATCCAATATCAATGCTTCCAGCGTTTGTAGGCATTTTAGTTTGCCAATGGAAGGTGGGAGTTTGAATAGATTGGTATTACACAAGCCTAAGAACTTGAGGTGTACCAAATTGCCTATAGCATCATGTAGATCACCCCCACTAAAATGGATGTTCTCCAAGTCCAGCACATATAGATGCGGGAACGTCGTACAGCATATCCTGGACATTTTACTGTGGTCCAAGATCCTAAATGCCATATCAAAGAACAATATTGATCTTACCTTCAATTTAGAAAGATCAAGTGAAAGATACGTTTCAGTTTGCACATGAATAGCATGTCGGAGACGAAATGGAGTGACCGAGTTTACTCTTGGATCATAAATGTCAAACAAGTTAACCTCCATGGACTTTTGTACAGCAAGATCCCGAAGTAGGTCGTGTATTTTACATGCAAAAATTTTATCGAAGAATGTCTCGGCCACTTGAATCAAGCTACGACTTATTAGCTCATGTAGGAAGTTTTCAGCAATATCCTCCATATGTTCTTCTCGAATTCTTGGTATGAATCCTTCCGCCAGCCAGAGGTGCATCAACTTTTCAGCGTCAATCACATGATCTTCTTGGAAAATGCCAATGTATAGAAAGCATTGCTTGAGCTCAGATGACAAATCATTGTAGCTTAATGATAGGATGTGAGAGATCTCAACACAGTCATTCTTCATATGCTGCCAAAGGTGTGTCTTTGCCTTTTGCCATTCGTGCAACCCCTTTCTGTAGGAAAGTAGCCCACCTAGTACCACAATGGAAAGTGGTAAGCCTCAGCACTTCTCCACCATTTCCTTATCTAGTCTTTCCATTGATGGGGAGAACAAGTCAGCACCAACCATTTTATTCTCTGGACGTAGTTTCTTGCATAAAAGGTCCCAACTTTCTTCATTATTTAGAAAACGAAGTTTATGGGAGAAACCTTTGTCATCGACTCTTTCAGCCACGTTCTCCTTTCGTGTTGTAAGGATAACTCTACTGCCATTGTTGTTATCCGGTAAGGCTCTTTTCAGGCTTTCCCAGGCTTCTTGATGCCATAGATCATCAACCACCACAAGATATTTGCGCTCTTTCAATAGATTACGAAGGTGGTTTTCTAGATCTCTCTCTGACATCTCCTTCCGAAATTTGAGCATTTCTTCACTGCAACCTTCATATCCAAGCACAAGTTTGAAAGATAGTTAGTAGACTTGGGGAGTTATATAGGTTTCTTGCGAGAGTGGTCTTTCCCAACCCACCCATACCATAAATTGAAGGGACATTTCGGTGAGACTCCTTTTTGAGAATTTCATCAAGTAGCTTTGAAAGACCTCTTGAAAGCCAACAAAGAGTTGATCTTTCTCTACATAGGACACTGCTCTCCTCAATGTTCTTATTAATGAAGAAGACGGATCATTTGGCCTATTACTTGGCCCTTCTCCAGCATTATTATTGATATGAGTAATACCATAGGTATCTCGTTTTCGAGAGATATCCATGACTCTTTCCTTGAGGGACTGGATGTCCTTCCCAATGTTGCGGAATTTGGCCTCTTTCTGACAGATGCAAGAACAAGCCTTGAGACGATCAATGAATCCAACAGCATAATCACCATCTTTTGCCGCATCCAAACTGTATTCTTCTAAGATGTACACAGCTTCATTAGCAACGGCTTTCAAATATCCATTGCTGCACGAGGTTATCTTGTTCTTGCTTTTTTTCGGCATCTTTGAGGAAAGCTTGCATGAAAGACAGTTCATTTCTCAGCCAAAGAACATTCTTTCTCAGACTTTGTCGCAGAGAAACTTCCTCTATGAGGAAATCCCCCAGTTTTTGAACTGCATAGGACACAACTGCATCAGCCATCCTCATGATCTTGAGGCTAGTTTTTCACTGTAATTAGGATTAACTGCTATACTTAATATTATTACATGCAAATGTCATCACAGTCTTACAAATTTTAACCTTCAAGAAAAGTTGGAAATTTCCTGTAATACCCTAAAATTTAAATTAAGGGCAAATAAGTCATTAGTTATTTTTTTAAAAGAAAAATAAGATAGAGATTGGGCTAAAAGCCCTAGGCAGCAACAGCTACTGCAATTTTCAGCGAAGAAAAAAAAGAAGAAACAAACGCTAGTTGCTGCGTTTCTATTTCCAGCGAAGGACCACGAAAGAGAAGAAAGAACGGAAGGGTGAGGGAGAAGAAGGAGAAAGAGACTTATTCGAAAGTTTCGCTTCCAGGTTCGAGGTAAATCATTGTTGCTTTTCTTCTCCTACAGCCTCTTCAAGATTATTAGTTAGGTCATTCAAAGTAGGTGTTGAAATCTAATTACTTAAGGCTAATAATTGGGCAGCAAGGGTTGTACAGATGGATAAAGCATATATATATATATATATATATATATATTTCTATCTATTTTATGAGTATCAAGATACATGATTGATCAATGGATTTGGGCATGAGAATACCAATAGATAGAAGTATATTTTATACTACTCCTACTGCCAGATATGCTCCCAGTAGCATTAGTTGAAATTACATTGTAATGCTGGGCTTGAGTTACTGTTAACTGTAGTAATAGCCAAGAAAATTGTTTGAGCAACCACAAGATATGAATACTTAGAGCTTTTAACCTGTTGCTGCTGAAATTGAAGGAATATATCGTTACGGATTAAGATACTTTGACACATTGAGAATCAAACCTGAAACTCGAGGGTTGGGTATTTTAAATAGTTATAGAATTAGCTTAAACATAGAATCTAATTGGAAATTGATATGAATATGATTATAGATTGACCAAAGGGATTCATACGGATTACTTGAGCTACGAGCTTGGTATTTCAGCACCAGTACTGTGAGTAGTAATCTTACCACAATTTGTATTTCACAAATTTCATGATTTTTACATGATTTATAAAGTAAATGTGTTACCGACTGTTTTGAACTTGCATATGGGACAAGTCTTTTACTGGATATGATACTGAAAAGATTATTTGAGATGATCTCATTCTTACAAGATATGATTACTGTTATTGAAAAGGTTTTACACTTATTGAGAAATAGTATTTTGACAAGTGATTGTTAAACTTTGAAATGATATGATTTGATAAGATTTAAATGCTCTGTTTGATTTTGAAATGCTTCTACTGATTACAAGAAAAATATAAATGGGAGTAGACCTTGATGAATCCCGTAGCTAACGGCGGGATCGTTAGACCTGGTGCACCTTGTAGTTACTGATTTCTGATAAAGCCCTTGCTAGTGGGAAGGTAGAACTGGTATACTGTTACTGATATCCCTCTTGTAGGGATCTATTGATATGAATATTTAACTCCTTTATGAGGAGTTCACTGTTATTGGTTACTTCTTAAAGAGAAGGCCACACTGATTACATGATTCATCTTTGGAAACCTCCCAGCTATAAGATTTGATATGGAAATGTTTTTCTGAGTTTACTATTAAGTATTTACATTGATTTTGCTTATATGAGGCAAATAAGATTGAATATTGTTACTGTTTCCGAAAGGACATTATTATATGATTTGATTATTATACTAGCATGTTTTCTGACTTGTCCCTCAATAAAAATGGTTGTGGTTAAGTGTTATTACTCACTGAGTTAGCGTCTCACTCCTCGCTAATTGTTTTTACAGAGAACTCAGGTGGTATTGAAGAGGATTTCATTAACTAGAAAGTATGATTTGGTAGCATTTGGTGAGCCGCGCATTGCTTCGCGTGGCAAGAGAACTATTGATTTACTATGGTTATTTGGTCTCTTTAAAAACTCTTAGAGTCGCTCCATTTGTCATTCCTTTTATTTGAGTCATGATTAGCCCTTCGTATTGTAGTCAAGTGACTAGTTGGAACTTGTTTTGTAATTTGGAGATGAATTGAATTTATGGCGTGACAATTAGATCATTGAAGGATATTATGTTGTGGCTTTTAGTTGCTATTGGCTGTGTTGTGAATTTATGAGATAGGAAAAAAATTCAGGATAGGCCTAAAAACAAAGGAAACTCTACTCGATTTTCTGTAGATTTATGTTAAGGCTTGCTTTGGGATTCTTTCCCCTTAGCGCCGGTCATGGACCTAATTCGGGTCGTGACATTTCCACCTGGTTATGAAAGTCAAGTCTATCAACTATAGACCAAGTCACAGTCCTGTATTTTGCTTGCATTAAATAGTGTTAGAAAATGAAAAAAAAAAAAAAGTCAGCAGTTATAGAAAAATCTTCTGAAGAGTTCCTTTGAATTTCGTGTTGCTTTCACAAAGTTCAAACTATGGGACATCACATTATAATGGAAATTCAATTAGTTTATGTCCATAACCAATCATATTATGCCAAGCAGAAAAAGGCTAATTGGTGACCTAAAACATGGAAGGAAAACAAGGAGCTGACCACTATATGACAATCCATCTTACCTTACCCTTTGAATTATTGGTATCCCATACCATGTTCATACAAAAGTTGTATAAAGACAATTTCTAATATTCCAACTAGTCTATACCCGTTTGGCCATAGATATTCCCAAAAATATTAAGAAAAAAAGTTGGCAAATATCATTTGGCAAATATTTTTAGCAAATCATCCAAATTCCCAAATAATAGAAAAAACTACTAGTATTTGGGTCAAATTCTATTATTTGAAATATTTTAAAAATTAGGAAGACCCACCTTTTTAAAGACTCCACCATTATTGAAGAGCTGATCTTGTGTGAGGCATAGAGTTCAAATCGCAATGAACATTTTTGACTCCCACAACCCAAAAGTAATTAAAACCTAAACAACATTTCATCAATCAAAATCGTTTTCATTGATTCGAGGAAAAAATGATAGAAGTAAGAATAGAATACTGTGATTTTTGTACAGACAAAATAGAGTTATTCGATTTTTAATTTTTATCTCTGTCTATTTTTGGCATAAAAATACTTTGACAAATGACAAGTCATTAGCCAAGTTACTGTTGCATTTCTTGATAGAAAAATATAAATCTTTTAACTTATATTTATGCCCTTTAACTCTAAATGTGCACAAGTAAACACTTAAATTTGTATAAAATTAAATAATTAGACATATGACATGGCTACTCGTGTCCACGATTCTGCCACGTAGTACATGTGTGCGTCTATTTGTTCAACTCTATACAAATTTAATTATTTATTTGTCAACACTCTTAGTTAAAGTCAAATTAAAGGACATTTATTTATTATACCTATCAATTTTGCGAACTATTCATAATGAAACTATTTTGTCCTCTTTCTCTAGCCAAGTAGCTCAAATAGGATGATTTTGACTTCGTTTCGCCTTTTTGCATAAGACATTTTTTGTTGTAATACAATAAATCAGCTTTGACATGGATATTTGAGGATCCATTGCCGATACGCCTGACATTCATAGTAGCAACATTTCTGGCACGTCAACAGAGTGACATATGGTATTCTAAACAAATAAAAGAGTAAAACAAAGATGAATTCGAGTGAGCATATTTTACAAGACAGAAAGCATATTATGAAGGAAAGAACACCCTTACAAAACAGTGATGGCATTTCTTTTTGACTAATAAGTTGGCATGGTAATTTATAAAACTCATCACTTCTAACATCTTTAGTATATACCACAAACTTGTCCCACCAATGCAAGCCACTGTCTTTACGAGCTTCATCGTTATTAAATGGAAGAGTCCTATCCAAAAATACAGCAACTGCAGCAGCTATCGTGGCGTGTGACATGAAGATGACAGACATTCTGTCATTGAACTGCAGTTCAAAAAGAACAACATTAGTGCGAGTTTATTTTGTAAGGAAAATTCTAAAAATAACAGAGTTTAGTGGATGAAATGTTGAGATTACCCATTTGAATGTGTATGAAGAGGACCGACTCCAATATGAAGTTTGTTCTAAAAAAAAAAGATGCAGTATATTGCAGCCATGATTGATGCAGGTATTGAAGCAAAGATTGCTCCAAATTTTCCTGGCTAACAATAAAGCATGTTACGAATTAAATCAATACATTAGCATTAGCTAGCATACAGAGAAATAGAATATAATTTTGGTAGAAATACAGTTGGTCAGTCCTTTTTTCCATATACTAATAGATTCGTGTCCATGAATCAATACATTAGTACTAGCTTACCTAAGATGGAGAAGAAAAACACAAAAGCAGCAGATATTTGCCAACACCCTGTCTAATGAAAGAAGGTGTCACTGGTGCACCGCTACCGCTTCCATATCTTGCTGATGCAAGAAATACACCAGTTAACTACACAACTAACGGATTTCACTATGAAAATGAAAGGCAAGAGTACGAAAAACAATCAAGAGCTTATATCTTGCTGCCTACTTTTTAGCAACATTAGATATGAAGACTGCGAATAGCCAACTATTTTTAGAAAATGTATAGATATAGATGGATACATATCAGAACCTCCAATACATTAAGCAAGAAATTTACTTGCTTGTGAGAGGACAACAAAACCTAATACCACTATACAGCTTCACTAAGGTCATGAATAAAAACAAACTTTGAATCATTTAAGGTAAATTTTAACTTAGTATTCGGTTATATTTTAAGAATTAGGATAGTCAATATGGATTAGATTAGAAGAAAATTACAACTTGGTATCACGATCCAATTAGGGGTCGGAGACTGACATATAGTGGGCTTACTCCAGCAATAGAACCAGCTGAACAATACTCAAAAATTTATATCTCCCATCAAGAAAAATCATAGCTAAATTTATTGTCTGCTCCTAACATGATATATTGTCATCTTTGTCCAGTACATTTTTCACGTAATCCAGAATCAGACATTATTGTCTTCTATATATTTCATAATTAATATTACAATTTCTAAAATTTGATTTTAAGAGATATATGACTCAGATTGGATCTGAAAACTGAACCAGTTGACTTGCACAATTGAACAAGCATAATATTAATTGGTACCAATTTAGGACAGAAGAAGCATCAAGTAAGTTAATAATAAACATTGGATAAAATAAAAGAAAAATAATGAACAAATGTAAAATAAGTATGGAAATTACTCACCTCAAAAGGTTCAAAACATGCATCAAGTTCCTAACTAGTTCATTGGAAACCGATGATAGTACTCCCTTTGGCATTGATTACCATCAAGCACTGCAATATGCTCCATTCTTTCTGGAATTTTCTTCAGCTCCGGACACCCAAATATACTCAGACTTTTAAGCACACTCATAGCAATTGTGTGAAGATGCCAGCTTTCTAGATTTTCAAGACTACCAAGTCTAAGGGTCTCCAGCTGACCAAAACTGTTTCCCTTGTAAGCACGTGATAACTCAAGATGCTTTAAGTTTGGAAACTTCCCCAGAATTGGCATTGGATCTTCCTCGAGTCCTGTAGAGTGTGTAGACTGTGGGACTAACACAGTGATGAATTTTGGCAGATCGTTTAAATTCGCTAGTTCTTCTATTCCCCCTGATAACCACAATCTGTGAAGGTTTTCACAAGAAGAAAGAGGTTCAAGGGGAGGAAAAGTTCCACCATAACTGCAAATTAGAAACAAGGTGGTGAGGCTTTTCAGGCTACCAATGGATTTTAGGGAGTAAGATTTCTTAATTTTTTCCATGCCAAATTCTTGAAGGTTGACTAAAGCAGAAGCATCAGTATGTTTCCACTGATCACAACGAATAAATTTCAGAGTTCGTAGATTTGTCAGCCTGTTAACTTGCACGGGAACCTCATATCGAGCAACTAAATGTCTCAAATTTGTGAGCTGGGCTACCTGAGGAGGTAGTTCGCATGAGCAATTGTCTGATATCAATGCTTCCAGTGTTTGCAGGCATTTTAGTTTGCCAACGGAAGGTGGGAGTTTGAATAGATTGGTATTACACAAGCCCAAGAACTTGAGGTGTACCATATTGCCTATAGCATCAGGTAGATCACCTCCACTAAAACAGATGTTCTCCAAGTCCAGCACATATAGATGTGGGAACGTTGTACCGCTTATCATGGACATTTTACTGTGATCCAAGACCTTAAATTCCTTATCAAAGAACAATATTGATCTTACCTTCAATTTAGAAAGATCAAGTGAAAGATACCTTTCAGTTTGCACATGAATAGCATGTCGGTGACGAAATGGAGTGATCGAATTTACTCTTGGATCATAAATGTCATACAAGTGAACCTCTGCGGCCTTTTGTACGACAAGATCCCGAAGTAGGTCGTGTATCCTACATTTAAATTTTTTATCAAAGATCGTCTCCAACACTTGAATCAAGCTTCGACTTACTAGCTCATGTAGAAAGTTTTCAGCAATATCCTCCATATGTTCTCTAATTCTTGGTATGAATCCTTCCGCCAGCCACAGGTGCATCAACTTTTCAGCGTCGATCACATCATCTTCTTGGAAAATGCCAATGTATAGAAAGCATTGCTTGAGCTCAAATGACAAATCATTGTAGCTCAATGATAGGATGTGAGAGATCTCAACAGAGTCATTCTTCATATGCTGCCAAAGGTGTGTCTTCACCTTTTGCCATTCGTCCACCTCCTTTCTGTAGGAAAGTAGCCCACCTAGTACCACAATGGCAAGTGGTAATCCTCTGCACTTGTCCACCATTTCGATAGCTAGTCTTTCCATTGATGGGGAGAACAAGTCAGCACCAACCATCTTATTCTCTGGCTGTAGTTTCTTGCATAAAAGGTCCCAACTTTCTTCATTATTTAGAAAACGAAGTTTATGGGAGAAACCTCTGTCATCAACTCTTTCAGCCACGTCCTCCTTTCGTGTTGTAAGGATAACTCTACTGCCATTGTTGTTATCTGGTAAGGCTCTTTTCAGGCACTCCCAAGCTTCTCGATGACATACATCATCAGCAACCACAAGGTATTTTCGCTCTTTCAATAGATTACGGAGGTGAGTTTCTAGATATCTCTCCGTCATCTCCTTAAGCAATTTGAGCATTTCTTCACTGTGACCTTTGATAGATTTTATGATACTCCGAAGGAGATCTGGAGTACTATACTGTTGAGAGACACATATCCAAGCACGAGTGTGAAAGGTAGTGATTAGACTGGGTGAGTTATATAGGTTTCTTGCAAGAGTGGTCTTGCTCAACCCACCCATACCATAAATTGAAAGGACATTTCGGCGAGACTCCTCTTTGAGAAGTTCATCAAGTAGTCTTTGAAAGACCTCTTGAAATCCAACAAAGAGTTGATCTTCATCTGCATAGGATACTGCTCTCCTCAATGTTCTTATTAACGTGGAAGACTGATCGTTGGCCTATTACTTGGCCCTTCTCCAGCATTATTATTGATGTGAGTAATACAATAGGTATCTCGTTTTCGAGAGATATCCATGACTCTTTCCTTGAGGGACTGGATGTCCTTCCCAATGTTGTGAAATTTGGCCTCCTTCTGCAAGCACAAGCCTTAAGACGATCAACGAATCCAGCCGCATGATCACCATCTTTTGCCACATCCAAACTGTATGCTTCTAAGACGGCAACAGCTTCATTGGCAACAGAAGTGATTTCAAATACCCATTGCTGCACCAAGGTGGTCTTCTGCTTGCTTTGTTTCGGCATCTTTGAGGAAAGCTTGCATGAAAGACAGTTCATTTCTCAGCCAAAGCCCGTTCTTTCTCAGACTTCGGTGCAAGGAAACTTCTTCTATGAGGAAATCCCCCAGTTTTTTAACTGCATAGGACAGAACTGCATCGACCATCTTGATGATCTCGAGGAGAACTTTCCACTATAACAAGGATAAAACTATTATGTTACTTGACAATATGATTACACAATCCGTAATGATACCCAAATACCAGTATTATAGAAGTGTTTCTTGCACTACAGTGATTGCTCGATGACATCACCGTTTAAATATAAAATTAAACCTTGAAGAAGAGTCAGAAAATTCCAGCTGGCTATGAAAGTCAGGGCTATCACCTCCCAAGTTGTTCTCTTCTTAATCATTCTTGGCGCGTAAGAATCTATACACTAAGTCAACAACAACAACAACATACCCAGTGTAATCCCACAAGTGGGGTCAGGAGAAGGTAGAATGTACATAGACCTTACCTCTACCTTTGTTGGGTAGAAAGTAATCTATAGACTAAGTCTATTTGCTTGAATTAGTTAATGCTGAAACTGACAAAAAGTCGGCAACTTTAGAAAGATCCTCTGAGGATCCTATGCATTTTGCATTGCTTAAGAGACAACTATGGGATATTATAATGGAAGGTTAATTAGTTTATGTCCATAACCAATCATTATTAATTAAAGCCAAGTAGAAAAAGGCAAAGTGGGTGATTTAAAACATGGAAAGAAAACAAGGAGCTGGCCACAATATGCCAATAAAGATGATCAATTTTATCTTACACTTTGCATTATTGCTGCCTACACGTTAAACATCCCAACATAACAACAAAACAAAATTCAAAATTCATTGAAAATCCCCTGTTCATAGAAAAGTTGTATAAGGACAAGTTCTACCTTTGGAGAATCCCACACACACCCGTTGACATTCTTGAAGAGTCCAAGCAGCGTAGCTTTCAGCTAGGAATGCATGTTTAACATAGAATTTCTTTGTGTGTTAGAATATGAATAGGTTTATACAATCTTATTAGAATAGGAATAGGTTTATATAATCCTATATGAATAGGAATAGGTTTATACAATCCTATTAGAATAGGAATAGGAATAGAAATAGAAATAGGAATACTAAATAGTATCCTACTTGGTAAAGGATTGTATTCTAGGGTCTATAAATAGGGTCTCAATGTAATAATGTAGACATAACACAACAATTCAATAATATTCTTCTCATATATTTCTCACAGTGCAGTAGATGCTTGTTACGTGAAAACTCTCAGGAATTTGCACATAACTTATTTCTGCATGTAATTATACAAAGCAACTATGGGATCTCTTTCTTAACATGTATGATGTGCAATTGGTGAAGCCAAAGAATGTGAAAGATCTTTTTGTTTGCTGGCAGAATCAGGAAGTTGGAAAAAGCTTGATGAAAATTTGAAAGACAATACTCTTTACATCATCTGACCAGTGATGTGAAAATAAGTAAGAAACATGTCTTGGTCAATTGAATCACTTATAATTTCATTCTACGTACCGTATTTTGGAAAGTATTTCTATTTTCTTTTGTCATGAAAATTGTGGAAGGACTCATCATACATGTAATTGAAAAGGAAATCTTGGAGATTAAGAGAACACTCACCAAGGATATCCAGCAATGAGTCCAGAGCTATCAGTGCGACAATCTGAATAATTTGTATTCCTGTATGCATCATCACTCCAGTGTCAAGATTGCTGCATAAAACCATATAATTGCTATAGAGATGAGTCGCATATGGTCCTCTTTAATTTGATTTATGTTGGTAGATATCTAATTGGTAATGATCCATCCATAACTGATATCAACAAAGAGAGATGATATGAAAATGGCATTCTCAACGAGATATATGAGAAAGCAATTCATCAGTATGACTTTCTTTTCTTAATCCTCTGTACATAATTTAAAAACAGAACACCACACTCAAATGTTACTGTCTATATATCCTGGATCTTTTGAATGACAAAACTATGTTTATCAAGTAATTGAAACCTTACTCCATGGGCTACCATTCAGCAACATTTGATCATGAAGAACTTGTGCACTAAGCAGTACGCACCAATTCTAGAAAATGTATAGTTATAGAAAGGACACATATCCAAACCTCAGATACATGAAGGTAACAGGAACTTAACTTGTCTGTTAGATGACAACCATATCTAATACATGGATTTCGCTTCACTAAGGTCACAAACAATAACCAACTTTGAATCATTTAAGGTAAATTTTAAATCAGTATTTGGTTATAACATAAGTATTAGGACAGTTAATATGGATTAGATTAAAAGACAATTAAAAACTTGGTGTCACGATCCAATAAGGGGGCGATGACCGACATATAGTGGGATGACTCCATTTATCGAACCAACTGAGCAATACTCAAAACTGATATCTCCCATTAACCAAATCCATAATTAAATTAAATTTTAAAAAATAAATGCATAACATTTGATCCAATTGGCACGATTATATAACGGGAACACGAACGTACAATGAAGTAAGTAACGGAAAGTGTCTCTTGGAAAGCAGGGATACAAAAAGAGAGGCAGATAAGAGACACTAATTGTTGGGCTCAAATAAACTATATCTCAAACTAAAACTGTATACTAATCAACTCTTCAGCTCGAACTTATCTCTTATACCTGCACAGAAGTGAGTAAGAGGAACGAATTAATTGACTAAATAAAATCTCTAACTATGACACTAACCAAATCTATAAATGTGACACAAGAACAATTTGGAAATTGTGGAGTATTTATATTCAGCAAAAATTTTACTCACAGTAAAACTCAAATTCAAAGTCTTCTCTAAAACATATATCTTAAAGTCATAGCTCCTATACAAAAGATAACATACTTCGACCTATGTAAGATCACATTTGATATCTCTGTCTGTTCCTAACATGATATTATCGTCTCTATCCAATATATTTTCACGTCTTCCAGAATCAAACACCGTCGCCTTTTATACAATTCGTAAGTATAAACTACAATTTCTATATTTGATTTAGTTTCGCTCTAAAAATTGAACCCGTTGACTTGCACAATTAAATAATCACAGGATGAAATTATGTGTCAAAAGTATGCCGCTTTCCTATTTGGCAACTCTTTTAATTTCGACATGTCACATGGCATGTTTAAGATCACAACACTTAAAAGCATTTTGATACATTATACATATCTTTAGTTTAAGACCACAGGATTCAAAAATCTTCTTTATTTTCTTCTTAGACTCCGTGCCATGTCAAACAAAGACAAACAAATTGAAACATATGGAGTACCAATTTAGGACAGACGAAGCATTAAGTAAGTTAATAATAAACATTGGATACAATAAAAGAAAAATAAAGAACAAATGTAAAATAAGGATAGAATTTACTAACCTCAAAGCTTCAGGCATGCAGAAAGTTCCTAGCTAGTTAATTTGGGAACCGATCATAGTACTCCCTTTGGCTTTGATTACTATCAATCACCGCAATATGTTCTCTGGAATTTTCTTCAGCTTCAGACACCCAAATATACTCAAACTCTTAATCACACTCAAAGCAGTTGTGTCAAGATGCCAGCTTTCTAGTTTTTCAAGATTACCTAGTGTAAGGGTCTCCAGTTGACCAAAACTGTTTCCCTTGCAAGTAATTTGCTTTCCCTTGTATGCCCATGATAACTCGAGATGCTTTAAGTTTGGAAGCTTCCCCAGAATTGGCATTGGATCTTCCTTGAGTCGTGCACACTCTAGGACTAACACAGTGACGGATGTTGGAAGCTTGTTTAAATCTGCTAGTTCTTCTATTCCACCTGATAACCACAATCTGTGAAGGTTTTCACAAGAAGAAAGAGGTTCAAGGGGAGGAAAAGTTTCACCATATCGGCAAACTAGAAACAAGGTGGTGAGGCTTTTCAGACTGCCAATGGATTTTAGGGAGTAAGATTTCCTAATCTTTTCCATGCCCAATTCTTGAAGGTTGACTAAACCAGAAGCATCAGTATCTTTCCATTGATCGCAACAAATGTACTTAAGAGTTCGTAAATTTGTCAGCCTGTCAACTTGCAAAGGAACCTCATATCGAGAAACTAAATGTCTCAAATTTGTGAGCTGGGCTACCTGAGGAGGTAGTTTGCAAGAACAATTGTCAAATATCAATGCTTCCAGCGTTTGTAAGCTTTTTAGTTTGCCAATAGAAGGTGGGAGTTCGAAAAGATTGGTATTAGACAAGCCTAAGAACTTGAGGTGTACCAAATTGCCTATAGCATCAGGTAGTTCATTCCCATCAAAAAGGATATTCTCCAAGTCTAGCACATATAGATGGGGGAATGACATACAGAACGTCATGAACTTCTTACTATAGTCAAAGTTCTTAAACTCGTTATCAAAGAACAATATTGACCTCACCTTCAATTTAGAAACATCAAGTGACAGATACCTTTGAGTTTGCGTGTGAATAGCATGTCGGTGTCGAAATGGAGTGACCGAATTTACTCTTGGATCATAAATGTCATACAAGTGAACCTCCATGGCCTTTTGTACAGCAAGATCCCGAAGTAGGTCATGCATCCTACATGTAAGAATTTTATCGAAGAATGTGTCGGCCACTTGAATCAAGCTTCGACTTATCAGCTCATGAAGGAAGTTTTCAGCAATATCCTCCATGTGTACTTCTCTCATTCTTGGCATGAAACCCTCTGCCAGCCATAAATGCATCAACTTTTCAGTATCAATCATTTCATCTTCTCGGAAAATGCCAAAGTACAGAAAACATTGCTTGAGCTCAAATGACAAATCATTGTAGCTCAGTGATAGGATGTGAGTGATCTCAACAGAGTCATTCTTCATATGCTGCCAAAGGTGTGTCTTCACCTTTTGCCATTGGTCCACCCCTCTTTTGTGGGAAAGTAGCCCACCTAGTACCACAATTGCAAGTGGTAAGCCTTTGCACTTGTCCACCATTTCCTCAGCTAGCTTTTTCATTAAAGGAGAGAACAAGTCAATACCACCCATCTTATTCTCTGGACATAGTTTCTTGCATAAAAGGTCCCAACTTTCTTCTTTATTTAGAAAACGAAGTTTATGGGAGAAACCTTTGTCATCGACTCTTTCAGCCACATCCTCTTTTCGTGTTGTAAGGATAACTCTACTTCCATTGTTGTTATCTGGTAAGGCTCTTTTCAGGCTCTCCCAAGCTTCTCGATGCCATAGATCATCAACCACCACAAGGTATTTGCGCTCTTTCAATAGATCACGGAGGTGAGTTTCTAGATCTCTCTCTGACATCTCCTTCAGCAATTTGAGCAGTTCTTCACTGCAACCTTGGATAGATTTTATGATGCTCCAAAAGAGATCTGGGGTACTATACTGTTGAGAGACGCATATCCAAGCACGAGTTTGAAAGATAGCTAGTAGACTTGGGGAGTTATATAGGTTTCTTACGAGAGTGGTCTTTCCCAGCCCACCCATACCATAAATTGAAAGGACATTTCGACGAGACTCCTTTTTGAGAATTTCATCAAGTAGTCTTTGAAAGACCTCTTGAAAGCCAACAAAGAGTTGATCTTTCTCTGCATAGGACACTGCTATCCTCAATGTTCTTATTAATGAGGAAGACGGATGTTGTGCCGTAATTTTCCTAACCTTTAGAAAAATCACTTTTTGAAATGTTCTAAGTATAAAACAATTTGAGAAATACTTAGAAAGAGTCGCCACTTAATTTTTTAAAGAAATCAAGAAAACTTATAATTTTCAAAGATTTAAACAGAAAAAATCATTTGAAAATACCGAAGAGGGTTCGGGGTTCAATTTACACTTCGTCAAGGGTTTAAGCATTCGAAGTGCCCGCTAACATGCGGTTGACCTGCGACTTGACTAAAATATATTTGACTATTTTTTAGAAAAAATAGAATAATTTAACATAAAAAATAATAATAATAATAACTTATAACATATTTGATTAAGAAAATAATTAAATAAATGACGCATTTTATTTTGACTTTTTTTTAGAGAAAAGGATTCAAAATGGAACAATTGACTTGAAATACAAGTGATTAGAATAAAAACAAAATTAATTAGAATTTATTTTATTCATTTTTAAACCAATTTGATAAATTAAAACATGAAAACCATTTCTTATTAATTGATTAACCCCTTTTCTTCTTTTTTTTTGAGAAAATGACTTAAGTAAGTATATATATATTTATTAATTAAATTTAAAAAAAGGGTTTGGCTAACATTTTTTAAAGTTTATTAGAAAAAAAAAAAAAAAAACTTTAACTTAGAACAATTGAAATGAGAAAAAAAAAAAAAGTGATTTAAATGAAGAAGACCCTCAAAGAACATATCTTAAAAAAAAAATGATTCAACATAAAAATATATAATATTTTACGATATTCGATTAACTTTGATAAAATAGTTAAATAAAGAATAATTTTTAAATTTTTTGGAAAATTGGATCTTAATTGAAACAACTTGGTCAATTAAGATTTTAACAAAACTAGATTAATTAAAAATTATTTACATCATTTTTTTTTTTAGAAATAATAATTCGAACCAACTTGGTGGACAAACCAAGACATTATTTTAATCTAATTAAAGATAAGTGAAAGTTTTGACTAAAAATGTTTGAATAAGCATAAGAGTTGATAAAATGAATTATTTTTAAAGAAAACTAACATAAAGAATATGGTTTATCTTTTGGGGAATTTAATTAAATTAAGTCGCAATAAAAAAAGAACAAATAAATAATCACACAATTAAATAAGTTAGAAATTGAATTTGGGCCTCCTTTTTGGGCTAATTTCGCTGTAATTTCTGGGGATTTATTCAATCCCCTTTTTGGTATACAGCTGATGTATATCAGTGTATATCGGCATGTATATCAGCCCTTTTCATGTATTTCTTGCTTCCGAACACCTATATTTCGCCTCAGCCCTGTATTCCTGCGTTTTGACATGTATATCAATGTATATAGATGTATATATCTTGTATACAACCCCCTTTTAGACTTTCCGGGACCTGTTTCAGCTTCTAATTTCTCGAAATGATGAGTTCAACTCGATATGGCTTAGTTCAGGACTCCATGACACATCCAGAATGCAAAGGGAAGAGATAGAAGGGAGTCCAATGGACTCAAACCGAGGGGGGTCATGCAAATAAGGAAAGGGTAAAAAGATTAGTAAGACATTCGACTTTAAACGATATTATATCAGAGAAAAATAGATAGAGCTAAGTAAAATTACACATCAAATATACCATCTAAATATAAAGCATGCTAGTGCAGGACGAAAGACTCCAACTAAGATATTTGGACATTTTTAAAGTGGCCTGACGAAATACTTGGAAGAAAACCAAAACAACAAACTCTACTAATTAATGGATTAAGCAGAAGAGTCTAAAATCTATGATTTTTCTTACTACTACAAAAATGTATAAATAAAATAAAGATATAATTAAAGTAACCTGCATATCATTTCTAAAAAAATCAACAACAAACACTCAACTCTATCTAATATACCTTTAAACTACGAAAACACAAGCTGAAAATTTTATCATATAAAGGACGCCAAAAGGGACATTACCGAACAACAAAATCGATTTTAAGTGATGTAGCTATATTGTCTAATATGCCAAAGAAACACAACTTCAAAGTTATATCGCTCTCGAAAATAATCCCTTACTATTATGACTAAATTAAGTAAAATTATTTGCAAGACATGACTTATCTTTAAAACTGAAGAAAACTTATACCCATGCATATAGTAACATAATCTGCCGAGAGAAATTCAAAACTCACATTTGTAGGTATAGGATATAGAGGGTTAAATTATTAAGGAAAAATTGCAACCTGTTTTTTTTTTTTTTTTTCAACTAAGACAAAATGAAGTTATATATTTTCAGATTTTAAAACATTGCCTACTACTTCTACTGAATCACAAAAAATATACACGATTTAATTAACAAATGGCGCAGAACTTGAACTAACACTTACGTGCTAAGGGTAGTAACACTTCAAAAAAAAAATGCCTTCAAACGATGGCGTCCTTTTACATAAAAAAAACAGAGCACTTAATATACATAATCTCTGACTAAAACAGAGACTATAGTCATCTTCCTAAATATACTTTTAAAATAATAATAAAGCAGCTGCAAATTTTATCAAATAAAGATGCCGAATGAACATTTAGCTAATAACAAACTAATTTCGGATGAAGATCTATTCACGAAACAAAATTGTTCTTTAATATAAGACGGCCTAATCATGAAGGAATAAAAACTTTAGATTAACTAAATAACATTAACGGCAGGATGTGATTTTATTCAGATAAGCATAATTGTATATCGGCTAGATGGCAAATAGATGGAAAATAGAGAAAAGAGAGGAGTATCACCTGTTGCGGGGCAGTGAACGGGAACAACGAGCTTAAAGGTAGCGATTTCTACACCACTGCGAGCCCAAACTCCCCTTTGTGTTCTCTTGCTAAGTGAAATCCAACTAAAAATTTCCCAACTTTTTCAATTCTCCAATTTTTTTTAATTTTTTTTTTTAATCAACGAAGGCATAAAACTATTTATAGGAAAAAAAATGGACGACTTAGTGGGGAAACTCGGTGGATTGGATAAATTTCAAATTTTGAAATTCGAAATCTTGGAAGACGGAAACAACTAGAATAGTACCAATTCTCAACGGATTGAGAATTGTATCCATTGATCTTGATGCCAGGATGAGTGAAGCGCCGAGATTACTCCATCTGGCACTGCTTTTTAAACAAATCATACTGTTGAAGCAGAAAAGGAAGACGAAGAGTATGGGCGAGCACTGTTGGCGCTGCTTGGAGATGCGATTGATGTGACGAGTCTGCATTTCACGCTGATTTCTCACCGGATTTGGTGGGATTTCTGGGTTTCGGTGGACGTTGTTCTCACATGGAGAAGAAGAAGAGGCAAAGTGGGGTCGTTTGGTATTGTTGTTGTTGTGAGAATTAGGGGTTGGGTCTTGTGGAATTAAGAAATGGGCTGATGTATTGGATGAAGAGTTGGGCTGGGCATTGAATTAAACTGGGCCGGCTGAAATTGAGAGGAAAGGCCCAAAATTTGGTCTTGCAAAGTGGTTGAAGAAATTGGTAAGGAAGTGGCTATAATTGCAATTACAAGGGATTAGAATTAGAACCAATTGAAGTTAAAAATTTAGCTGATTTGAATTTAATTGGTGAATTCGGCCAAAAGTTAAATAAGATGAATTAATATAAATTAATTAATGAGCTTCTTAATCTTAACGAAAACAAAAATAATTAACTTAATCATAAACTAATTAATTCAATTACAAAACTAATTAACTCGAAATTACAACTATAACTTAAAGTAAAATAAAATGTAAAATCCTTTGTGATGATTTTCAAATATTTATAAAATAGCGTGATTGCAAAATATACATACTTATTATTAAAAATGATAAAAATTACTTTAAAATAATTTGAAGGTATTTTTGAATTTCATAAAACTCATTAATTAAAAAAATTATAACAATCCCTAATATTTAAAATATAAAATCCTTTTTGAGACGATTTTCGGATAATCATAAAATATACTAATTATATACATAATTATGTAAAACATATATATCAACTAAGATTATAAAAAGGGACAAAACTATTTAAAATAACTTGCGAACCATATTATTATTATTTATTTTTTGAATTTTTATAAAACTAATTATTTTAAATCGTTTGAGATTGAAGAAGTTCAAAATGATTAATTTATATTGTGGAGGGTCAAAATTGGGTGTCAACAACTGTCCCTCGTTTGACTTGGATTGATGAAACAAATTCGAGGCAAATGAAATTGACGAATCCAATTTTGACTGACCACATCTTCATCTTTTGGAAAAGGGATTAGGTACAGACTTTAGGAATTACGGTCAAACCCCGGAGGTGGGTTTCCTACACATCTCAGGCTATATGAGAATTCATGCCACTTGATTTGACGCATGATTTGAAAGAATTCAAAAGTCATCCCGATATCGAATTATGAAGAAACCGAAATGCTCAGGAATAAGACTTGAGAGTGAATGTTGGAATACAACCGGGTTTTCAATATTGACTCCGCCTACATATTCCTCAACTTAAGGAATCAGGCTGCTTGTAGTTCGACTCGATCGGTTGAAAAGGAAATCTATTATGCGAGATAACCTTTGGTTCTGGAGGAGTGACAAATGAGTCTGAGTATAAAAAAAAAAGGCTTGTAACCTCTTAGCCATGAATGTGGTGCACTTCACACTCATAAGTAAGAACTTACACGGGGATAATTTTCAAAGCTCTTGGTGCGTTGTCACTCAGATTGGAAAGTTGCCTCTGGTGGAGACCAAAATTTTTGGATGCGAAACTAAAACCATGAAACCTAAAGAAGAACCCACATGCCTTCTGATAGGGGTGTGGTTCGATTGTGGTGGAAGTCGCTCCTCAGCTCGC